AATTTCTTGTTCAATTTCTGAGTTCCATTGTTCTAGTCCTGTAATTGCTGTGTTAAGAATTCTGACTAACTTGTCAAATGAAATTTTTTCTTCTTCAATAACTTCTCTGTCACTTTCTTCACTATTGGTGGCAGTATTTTCTGGATCTAAATCCATACTACAGATTTTGCTGTCCGTTAATTGATTGATGATTGATGATTTCCAAAGAAAAACTTAATTCCTCTTCCCTAAATTATCCCGCCCAGTGCAGCCATGCAAGCTCTGGTGCCAGTTCTGGCTTTATGTGAATAACAAATAATTTATTCTTTATTCAAATAGCACTAAATGTAATCTTTTAGTATCATTAACAAAATCTATTTTTAGCATCCGGAAAGAAATTTTTTTAAAAATCTTTCTTTGTCAACATTTCTAAGCACATTTAACTTAAATCTGTAATTGGTGCTGAGCGTATGTCAACAGAAAATGTTACCACACTCTTTGTTGGTTTGTTACCACATGCTTTGTTACCACACACTCTAATATAAGAAAATTTTTCAGGCATCGCTGCATGAGTCATCACTCAAGTTGTCATGTGTTGATAAAGATGCAGTGTTGAAAGTAAAATATAATAAATAATGATTCGCCAGGTTGGCATCAAGGATATAAAATATTAGTTGGTGTAAAATCAATGTTTTTATGTAGAATGTTTCGGTTTGAGATGTGTGCCTAGCAGATTCGCAGCTACGGAGTCAAATTATTGATTGCACACATTTATGCTAAAATAATTATTTCTTCACTAATGAAGTATTTTATTTAGTGCCGAAGTAAGATTAAAAATCAGAACTCTCCGCATGTTTTATTATGAGGTGGAAAAATCAAATGTGCATGCGTAAAGCACCCCCCCCCAAAAAAAAAGATTCGTAAATAAAATTGGTTGGTGATTGTTTTGAGATCCGGATTTTAGATCATTCCAGATAGTGGGCGTCCGGATCTTTTGGTGCTTAGGAAGAATGATCTTGCACAGCATAATATTTGAGAAATGTTTCCTAAATTATAAAATTTATTGTTTCTGAATTAGCATCTCTTGCAAAGGAAAATGTCTTAAAATGACATTCATTTGATTGGTCTTTCATATAGCTTGGGGAGTGTCTAATAATAAAGAATAAAAGGGAGATCCATTTACCTGGTTCACCAGAATGTTTTCTATATTATGACCAGTATATTGGAATTATTCGTTTTGTATGGTAGGGCTCAAATATCTCACACTTTCTACTGCCATATCAAGAACTTGTTTCATAGCATTGTCATATTTACTTAATAATTTAAACTGCAGTAAAAAATTTCCATTGTAACTAGCATTTATATCGTCACTATTCCCACAAAAAGCTGACTTATTTTTTTCTCAGCATAAGTGTAATGTTAAACAATCATTCTAAAACATTTTCTTAAAATTTGTCTCATATCAAATATGGTCTTCGAGGTCTTAATCAGTAGTCATTTTATTTTTCTATGCTTTGTATACAGCTCTTGCTTCTGTATGTGGTTTGGGGGGAAAAAAAAAATGAATGTGTGTTTTAATTCTTACTATTAAATTTTCCCAATCTGTATCTTGAACACCAATTATTATCAGAGTTAGAAAACAATCAACAAGGTTTTGCAGTATGCAACATTCAATAATTTAGCATAATGCATAGATGTATGATGCAATGAAATGGCTATTTCATCGTTTAGTATCTTTTGGATATAAGCTTATAGGATTCTTTTCTTAATTTGCTCACAAATAATTAGAAATTTTGTCATATCATCAGTGCCTACATATTACATGTATCTTTTGACATGCATATACTAGTTTCTTCAGTACATTCATGGTCAACCTCCCTAGTAGAAATAACTTCAGGCCAATGATATAGTTTTTCATTTAGGTTGTTCAACCTGAACTGCCAGAGACAATAACTACTGAAGAATCTTTTTCTGCATATGATGTTTTAATAACAAAGTTTTCTAGTCTTATGAGCTCTTTATTGCCCCCTGCCTCTTTTTTTTTTTTTTTTTTTTTTTTTTTTTTTTTTTTTTTTTTTTTTTTTTTTTTTTTTTTTTTTTTTTTTTTTTTTTTTTTTTTTTTTTTTTTTTTTTTTTTTTTTTTTTTTTTTTTTTTTTTTTTTTTTTTTTTTTTTTTTTTTTTTTTTTTTTTTTTTTTTTTTTTTTTTTTTTTTTTTTTTTTTTTTTTTTTTTTTTTCTTTTTTTTTTTTTTTTTTTTTTTTTTTTTTTTTTGTTTTTTTTTTTTTTTTTTTTTTTTTTTTTTTTTTTTTTTTTTTTTTTTTTTTTTTTTTTTTTTTTTTTGTTTTTTTTTTTTTTTTTTTTTTTTTTTTTTTTTTTTTTTTTTTGTTTTTTTTTTTTTTTTTTTTTTTTTTTTTTTTTAAGATGAGCTGTTTTTTTTTTTTTTTTTTTTTTTTTTTTTTTTTTTTTTTTTTTTTTTTTTTTTTTACTGTTTTTTTTTTTTTTTTTTTTTTTTTTTTTTTTTTTTTTTTTTTTTTTTTTTTTTTTTTTTTTTTTTTTTTTTTTTTCCGCCTCTTTTTTTTTTTTTTTTTTGTTTTTTTTTTTTTTTTTTTTTTTTTTTTTTTTTCATTTTTTTTTTTTTTTTTTTTTTTTCAGTTTTAGGTCCTACTCTTTCATTTTCACTTAACCACTAATGATATGTAGAGTATTTTATCAATTCGTATAATTATTTTGATATATTTTACATTCAATTTTTTTTTCCTGACCAACAACTAATAAAACAGTTGATTGATTATCACAAGTAAAACTGGCTAGTTTGTTTATTTAGATTGCACATATGCAAGAATTTTCTCTGAAAGTAAAACAATTTTTTTTGGAAGAATATGCAAATGTAACTGTCTCAACTTTAAAAAAAAATGATCATATATAAATGTGAAGTAAAGTTTCTGATACGAGACTTTAATTCGAAAATAAAAATAAGAAAATTATACTGTCATCAGATGAAAAGGTTATGTAGAAAGGGAAACTTTCATTTATAAGAAATATGAGATGGTGCTTTTATGTGTTGACTGCCAACGAAATGCAGTGCAAGTTACATGGAAGTATGCCATTTAATTTTCAACAGATCCTCATTCAAGAGAAGATACTATTGCTTAAAGAATTTGTTGATTTTGGAAAGCATTATAAGTAAGTATTATAGCTCAACTCAGGAAAGCATTATAAGCCACTGTCATTTTGGCAAATCAAAATGCATAAGTGAAGGACAGGAAATCGGGAAATTTTAGGTGACATTTCTTTTATGCATCTTTTGTTTCTTATGTTTTTAACAAGATGGTGCTTGAGCATACCAGTCAGTGTTTGTGCAAACACGTTTTTATGGATACATTTGGAAAACTGATCATTAATATCAGTGTTGACATTAATGAGCCCTGCAATTACCAGATCTCGTTACACTGGGTTTCTTTAGGGGATCAGCATAAAAGATCAAGCATGTATGACATTAACTATTAGTGTACTAATTCAGAAGTCAAACAACAAAAATCAGTGTTAATTTTCAAAATTTTCACAGGACTAGTTCGATGGTTTTACTGAACCACCATCTTATCATCTTATAAGAATCTTATCTTATCTAATCATTATTTCCTATCTTGTTCATTTGCGGTTTTGCATCTGAGGATGGTGGTTCGGTAAAACCATTGAAACTAGTCCTGTGAAAATTTTGAAAAATTAACGCTGATTTTTGTTGTTTGACTTCTGAATTAGTATTTATTTGGCGTGTTATTGTGTCTTAATTACTAGTGTACTGTATATATGTCATTACATCAGTTACGCTTGCAGTAATTCAACACATTTACCTATTCAACACTAACTTGTAAGCAGTGTGAGTTCATTTAGTTTATGTTTAGTTCATGTTTAATTTTATTAATTAAAGTAATCAATCTGTTTTGACACAATGTGTATTGCTTATTTATTAAATTATACTTTTGTACTGATGTTTGTGTTTCTATTCAAATATTGCAAGACAACACTGTGCATTGGTGTCAGACATTTTACAATTCAAACAATTATTTACTGCACTCGTACATGTAATATGTCCTTCTGTGTTAAATTGTTGATGTTCTACAATTCCACAATTCATTTTTTCTACATAGCTCTCAGTTTTTGAGAGATTACTAAGTTTTTAATTTTACCAATAGGGAGCATTGTAGTGCTCCTTTTATTATAGCTAGACATCACATTCATTAGTTCTTTAGAGATGAGTGGGATTTCCTATTTTCCATGAATATATTTATAACTCAAAAATATTAATTTGAAAATTAATATAAATAATGAAATTTTAGCCAAGTTATATTAAGGAAAAGAAATGTTTAAATTATAGTTTACATCTCTTTCTTTCGTCATAAAACTTTTGAATCTGTTTACATCAAATATGTTCATGTGGACAAACACCGTCTTTCTTGTCACTAACAAAAATGCAATGGCAGTAATGCAGAAATTCATTTTTCCAGATTATGAAGTCTCTTTCATGAGTGTTTGCAATGTATAACCAGTCTTCATTTACCAGTTAGTGGATCAAAAAACTGGTCACACTGACTTTTAATGCTGTGATTTTTTCATCTCTGTCTTCCTATATAAATATGGTGAAGCATTTGAGGGGCACTGTAGAAACAGGCAATTGGATTTATAAATCGAGTGTTATTCTGTGCTAAAGCTGTAGACTGCTATTCTTGTGCAACAGTGCCAGGAAGACTTAACTCTTTTAATTTTGGCATGTGGCTCACTCCTGAGGGTTAGAAGAACTAGCCCATAATTAGCTATCTTTCCCTTGACTGTTGGCCATTTTGTATCTTATGTATCATCTGAGCATCAGCTTATTATTTATAGGAGAGGTACATATTCACTTGTGATATCATATTATTTTAAATAATTATTCATCACAAGTAAAGTGATTGCAGTAGTTTAAGTTTTACATTTATCAGTTGAAATAATTATAAGAAAATAAAAATATATAATTTTTCTGACAGGTTAAAATCCGTGACTGCGTTTCACATCGCAACAAAAGAGTAAAAATATATGGATGGGTTCATCGACTAAGGCGACAAGGTAAGATTTTTTAAAACAAATTAACAGTAAGCCATCCCATCTTTTCATAATAGGATCACTATGCTGATAATTTATATATTTCAGCATTAAATTTGTTTTTAAGATATAGCAAAATATTCTTTACAAATCTTTAAGTTAAAATGTATTAGTATTTGTTCATAATTCTCTGAAGTTTAAATATTGCATATATGCAGTAGCATTTTATTCCATAATTGCATTTCTTGTAAATTTAGGTAAATCATTGATGTTCATTACTTTGCGAGATGGAACTGGTTACTTACAGTGTGTATTAAACGATTTACTTGTAAGTATTAAATTTACTTTTTTAATAATAATATTTTTTAAATATATTTTAAAAATAGTATTTGATGCATAAACTTTTATTTCAGTGTCAAACGTATGAAGCTCTTGTTTTATCCACTGAATCTTCAATCTGTGTCTATGGAATAATCAACTCAGTTCCTGAAGGAAAAAGTGTATGTAAAGTGTATGCCACTTTTTGCATTAATGTAGATAGTTAATTGTTTAATAAAATAAATTCTAAAACAATGTATGCCAATATTTATAAAACAATTAATGCATGCCAATTTCTATTAAAGTCTTACATATGCCAAATGAAACTTTAAGGAATGTTTTCCCAATTCCCCCCCCCTTTTTTTTAACTTCACATGATGCTGTGCAAAAAGATATGTCTGTGAAAAGTGAATGAAATTTTAAGAAGGTATCACCTGAGCGTCTTGTAGTTTTTTTTAAAGCCCAGAAAAGGGTAGACCTATTAATCTTAAAATATTATATTGTGTTGTTTTATTTTAAATGTTGTTCACTCTCAATGCATTTTTCACTTTTCATTCAAATCTGTTGCTGTTTGGCAAAATTCAATTTTATCTTTCAGATTTAAGCTGTCTATTATTAATTAACAAACTAGGATATTTAAAAGCAATAGACAGTTCTTAAGAATATATATACAGTCAAAAGTCGTTAATCCAGACTTGTCGGGACTTCGGCGATTCCGGATTATCGATTTTTCTGGATTATATATCATCAGTTTAAATCTCGTAAGATGGCATGCAGAAATTCTAAAATTAAAAATATGAAACCGTAATTTATGAAATAAAGAACAATTATGATCTAAAGGGTATCAAAATTTACAAAAAAAAAGCTTAATATTTATTTGTTTACTTTATTAAACATTTCTTTCAATGTAAGTTGTTTAAGTTGCTTCGTTTTATGTTATAATACTTTCTCTTTAATTCTATAAACAGACATAATTTCTTGTTCAGTTGCAAAGTTCCGCTGTTCAAGTTTCGTAATTGCTGTGCAGAGAATACCGACTAACTTGTCAATCGAAATTTTTTCATTTTCACTAACCTTTCTGTCACATTCTTCATGTCTTTATCCATTTTTTGCAGCAATTCCACTTTTTGTTTGATGGACATCAAAACATACTTTCGTTTTGTAGATCCTTTGGGAGCTCCAGAATCGGAAATTCTGTTTGACATAATCGAAAGTTCAAGTTTACTTTTATAAAATTGCTCTTACAGTCTGCAAAAAATAATAAGCCGGATCCAATTCGAAGATTAAGGAACAACACAATCAACATTAACTGAAATAGATAATTAGATAATTTTAGCTTATACTGTCCGTTCGTTATCCATAAAACGTGCACGCGAAAACGTATTCTGCGCCTGCTCACACGCATATGCGCAGTAGTGAAGGTCTTACGCGCACACGTAAACGCCTATGCGCATGTGTCAACGTGGTGCATGCGCAGAAAGTTTTTAGCTTTGAGGTCCGGATTATAGATCATTCCGGATTATGGATGTTTGAATTAACGACTTTTGACTGTATATATATTTTTACGTTTTAATCTGATTTATTTAAATCAAAATGCATTTAACCCTCTGAGCGTTATGACCGGGTTTAGGCGGTCAAGACGGCCTACCTCGAAAGCGTTACGGACGCTTCTAGGCGGTCACTGGAAAAGTGTTTGAAAGCGTTACTGACGGTTCTAGGCGGTCAGTGGTGAAGTCCTCGAAAGCGTTATGACCGCCTTAAAGCGGCCGTGCAGATGTCTCTTGCCCCCCTTATTTCTGGAACCCTGGAGATCTCTAAATGACAGTTCTCAGTAGGAGGCAAAGAGGGTTGCTCTTTTTCGTTTTAGACCGCTATGTTTAATCGCCAAGAAAACGCTTGAACATGTAGTGGTTTATAAACAACAAACAAACGTGCACATTCTTCGCGAAATAAAAAAGTAGCATGTAAGCATGTTTTTTCAATACTCTCTTTAAACAGATAACATTTTCATAAAATATCCTTTAGTTTTTAAATTGATTGTTCAGAAATATGCGAAATGCTCATGAATTCAATTAAAAAATAGCATTAGGAAATATTTAAACAAATTTACTTATGGATATATAGATACATAATTAAAACCGACAAGTTATAAGTTTTAATTATTCGAGCAAACGAATAGCGCATTTAATTACTGCATTTAATTTAATACTGCATTTAATATGAGTTATATAATTACATGTAAAGAATAATATAATTAAGCAATAATTCAAATAAAAATTAGCCATCAACAGTAATTTATAATAAGCGTATTTTGAACGGGTTTATGAAGCATAATCTAATTTGATAGTAAAAATAATAATGGCGAATTATTTATTCATTTTGGAACAATATTTGTCGCTTATACTGGTTTGATGAAGTTCTGCTCAAATTCATTTCAAATATTCCAAATCTTTATATGTACATTGATTTCAATGCGATTTTTTTTTATTAGAAAAAAAATTCAATGAGTTTGATTTTCTTACATAATTGTAATTACATTGTTCAACGCAAAATAACTACAAGCAGAAAGGCAAAGGTGTGTTAAAATTTCTGTATTTTGCTATATAAATTATTAAAATAACCAACCTACAGCCTAACAACTGAATGTCCGAAATCTAACCCGCCACTTTTCTAAAAGTAACAAATTTCAGTTAAAAAAACCTCAGTAAATAAATAAAACGAAATACTATTAAGAAAAGAAGCACGAAAATTTACTTTTTTATGTTTGCTTCCTTTATTTTTAGTCCAAAGAGGCAATTTGCCCTGAAGGACTTTTAATTTCGCTTTGGCATTTTTCATTGAAAACTATAAACGGCGGATCACTTTTCAAATTGTTGCCACTAAATTTTATAGCTCTGTATTATACTTAAAGAAATTAAATAATGAAGAATCTGCATGAATGTACGTATGTTTCTCGCATTGTAATAAAACAACGGTACCTAGAGCTATCAAAATTTCAAAAATGGAAGCCCTAATTTGAATTTGAAATTTGTTTTATTATCGATTTCATATTTTATAACACTTCAACGAATTTATGATTAAAAAACTAAACGATTTCAAAGCGAATAATGTCAACACCGTACGAAAAAAATCCTATTTTTATCTCCAGCGCGAGAGACTCTAAGATACGCTCATTTTAAAATAATCTTGAGATATTGCTGTTAAACTGAACTTTGTGGTTTGAGTACGTAGAACATGATATTTAATGAGGTAACACACAAAACGTTAAAAACGCTCCTTTGGACGTAGTTTAAAATCTGAAACCTTTCAGATTTTTATTTATTAGTCCAAAGGGGCGTATTAGTATTTAAAACAATAGTCCTTGAGAGACTATTGTTTTAAATACTAATACTGTTTTCGTTCTTGTGATTTTGCGTTGAATCACTATAAACGGCGAATCACTTTTCAAACTGTTGCAACCAAATGTTAGAGTCCCGCATTACATTTGAAGTAAAAGTAAATAATGAAAATCTGCGTATATTTCTGGCATTGTGATAAAAAAAAGGTTTGAAAAAAGGCCATCCATTGAATGACGTAATCCTCCTACGAATATGGGCATGTGGAAGATCAAATTTGATATCTATTTCATATTTTGTGAAACTTTAACGAATTTTTGAGTAACAAACTCAACGATTTCAAAGCAAGCAATAGCAACACTCTACGGGGGTGGAAACCTTTTTATCTCTAGCGCGCAGAATTGTGTACCTGAAATTCTAAATATATGCTCATTTTAAAATTAATTATCGACATTGCTATTGAACTGAATTTTATGGTGTAAGTGCAAAGAACATGATATTTAATAAATAAAGGTACCACACAAAACGTTAAAGAAATGTCCTTTTGGACGTAATTTAAAATCTGAAACCTGTAAGATTTTTTTTTAAAAAATTTTTATTGTTTTTTGAATGTATGTTGTTTGTGAATGACGCAGTAGTCGTGTATAATTTGAATATATAATAATTATTTGTGCTATTTTTTATTTGAAATGCATATAATTCTCTAAAATAGTAGCATTCTTAGATTCAATATTGTCTAAGCAGGTGCAATGATATTTTAACTTCATTACCATATCAAATACAGTTTCTTTTTAATTTAAAAACTTCGTCAGTGGTCTGAAGCACCTTTTTGAATCATAGGATGAGTTTTACTAAAATTTGTAGTAGTCCGAATTTTTATAAGTATTCAGAATTACTGAAATAAAAAAAAGCTAAACTTTTTAGAATTTCTTTATCAAAGTATTACATCTTAGGCAGCAAGACCTGATTAGTAAAATCTGGGAAAGGATCTATGATTGTTTAGTAAGAAGTAAAAAAAAAAAAAAAAAAAAAAAAAAAAAAGTAGTCTAGGTCTAAGCAGTAAAAAAAAGCTTGTTCCTCTATCGAAAATTGTCACGTATGTTAGAAAGATTTTGCAAGACATTAATATTTTAGCTCAAACATGATTTTTTTAAAATTTAGTCTCTTGTTTTGGAGATGGTGTTCAAGCATTTTACCATAATTTTATTTTCACAAGTGCAGAATTTTTATATTTTTTATTGATCGCTGTATTTTTAACTTCCATAGCATAAATTAAAGAAATACACATAGCAACTTCAGCCATAAACAGATGACTTAAGAGAAATTTGTTTTGACATATTATGCGAAAGACTAAATAAATATTAAATGCTTTTGCAATTATGTGACATGACAGTAATTAGAAAAACAATAACTGTAGATGTGCAAAAAACTGTACTTATAACCTTCTGTATTTTTAAAGAAAATACAAAATAGTTCAGAATAGCAGATGGCTTTGAGATCATTCAGTAATGTCATCGTAAGTATATTCTCTTCACGTTTCGAAAGAACTGCAGTAGTTCAGATTTGTCGTAAAAGAGTAATTACACCCCTGGGGATTGGCGTACTTACGGAACTGAAAAACAAGCTTTGAAACATACTCATACAAAAGTCCTACCTTTTCTTCGACAGATAAATGACAGATGTGATAATTTGAACACATGCTTTCAATCAGTTGTTTCCTTCTAACAAAGCGTCTTGGGCGGCTAGCAGGATCCTAGCAAAGTCTTGTAATAGTCTCTTGTTTTAAATATGCTGTATTTCGAACTCAAATTCAAAGACGGGCATTTAAAAGATTTTATTAATGCTTT